ATTCTGGGCACCACAATTCAAGAGAGATATTGACAAGCTGGAATGTGTCCAGAGGAGGGCGACTAAAATGATCAAGGGTCTGGAGAACAAGCCTATGAGGAGCGGCTTAAGGAGCTGGGCGTGTTTAGCCTGAAGAAGAGAAGGCTGAGAGGAGATATGATAGCCGATGTATAAATATGTGAGAGGAAGCCACAGGAGGAGGGAGCAAGCTTGTTTTCTGCTTCCCTGGAGACTAGGATGCGGAACAATGGCTTCAAACGACAAGAGAGGAGATTCCATCTGAACATTAGGAAGAACTTCCTGACTGTGAGAGCCGTTCAGCAGTGGAACTCTCTGCCACGGAGTGTGGTGGAGGCTCCTTCTTTGGAAGCTTTTACAGAGGCTGGATGGCCATCTGTCAGGGGTGATTTGAATGCAATATTCCTGCTTCTTGGCAGGGGTTGGACTGGATGGCCCATGAGGTCTCTTCCAACTCTTTGATTCTATGATTCTATACGCCTTGCTCGGCAACCACATGGGCCATTTCAGGAGAAAAAACATGACAGCTGAGCCCTTACCATTACGGTCATCTAAACAAGCCAGATTGGCTGAAGGGAACCAACGAATTTGAGTTCGTGCACAAGCCTAGTTTCCACTTGTCTTATCTTTGAGTGAATTTAAATACTTAACTCTTATTTTAAAATGAACCATCCCTTTCTTTTAGTAGAGTGGCGGAAAGTGATAATTTAGGGTGGTTCCACAAAGGCATTAAATTGCTGTTTTCTGCCATAGGGAGAGGAAGTAGCCTTCAATAAGCCAATGAGTTGTTGCAAAGCAGGGGAGACCTGACAGCCAAGCATCTGGTACCTAGTGGTAAGAGGTGTATTTAGCTAATTAGGTCAGGCTGCTCACATACAGAGGTGGAAGCCTATACCTGGCTCAGCCAATGTCCTGAAACACCAAATCCAATTAGCTCATCTTCGGAAAGCAAAGCTATGGTCATAAAATTATCATTGCAGTCATAAAATTATCCATCCTTGTTTTCAAACTGAGCAAAAGCACTTAACTCTCTGCCCTTGCTTGGCTCACTGAATAATCTAAAGCTGACTGGAATACAAAATGCCAAAGCCCAACCATTGCTCAGCCTTAACCTTTGGGCCAGGGATTCTGAAACTTGTTGTTGACCTAGATTTCAACTTAAGAAATTTCTGGTGTGAGAGAATTGGCCGCCTACAAGGATGTTGCCAAGGGGTGCCCTCATGTTTTACCATCCTGTGGGAGGCTTCTCTCATGTTCCCGCATGGGAAGCTGGAGCTGACAGACAGGAGCTCACCACGCTCCCTGAATTCGAACTGCCGACCTTTCAGCTGGCAGTTCAATCGACACAAGGGTTTAACATATTGCACAACTGGGGGCTCCTAGGTACTAAGAATGAATGACCGTGATGTCAAACCCACAAACCACTAGGTCAGCATTCTGTAATACGAACCATGTTAGATCAAACCACAGGTCGAACTGGTTCATCAACTTGTTTCCCACAGTGGACAGCCTTTGAATCATAGAATCATCAAGGTGGAAGAGACCTTGTGGGCCATTCAGTCCAACCCCCTGACGAGATGCAGGAAAATTGCATTCAAAGCACCCCCAACAGATGGCCATCCAGCCTTCCAAAGAAGGAGCCTCCACCACACTCCGAGGCAGCTGCTGAACAGCTCTTGCAGGCAGGAAGTTCTTCCTAATGTTCAAATGGAATCTCCTTTCTTGTAGTTTGAAGCCATTGTTCCGCATCCTAGTCTCCAGGGCAGCAGAAAACAAGCTTGCTCCCTCCTCCCTATGACTTCCCCTCACATATTTATACATGGCCATCTTGTCTCCTCTCAGCCTTCTCTTCTTCTGGCTAAACATGCCCAGCTCTTTAACCTGCTCCTCATAGGGCTTGTTCTCCAGACCCTTGATAATTTTAGTCGCCCTCCTCTGAACACAAGCACTATCTCAAGCAAATATTGGCAATTTATTCACACTGTCATTACTTGCAGCAATAGCCGATGTAGTTGTTCTGGTACAGCTGTTCCAGGAGCTCCAACTTTATTTGCTTTGTATTAAATGTTTGCTTGCAGTCCTAGGTTTCAGGGACTCTGCAGATAGGTGGCTGGCCTCTTTGGTTGCAGTCATAGAGCAAGTCACCTGTCCATCATCGTTAAGTTTTGGTCCCACCCTTTGCTCAGGGCAATTGGGAAGGGAAGGGAGCCATTTTTAGTTAGTCTCAGCAAGGTAAACTTATGTATAGGATGTGTGCAAGCTTCCCCTGTACAAAAGCTTCAACCCTTAAGACCTTCCGGGGGAGAATAGTCTTAAGAGTCTCCAAAGAATTTCCAGGAAAACAACCCTAAAGACCAAAGAACTCCAGCTGGAGAACATCTACTGCCTTGCTGGTAGGTCCACTCGGCATTCGAGATGCAGTTTGACCCAGTAGTGGAGCCCACATCAGTAAGGGTTAGATTACAGTCAGCCTGGGAGAAGTTAAAAAGGGGATTTTCCTTTAAAGAAGAAGTTACTGAAGACAGTTGCCTGTCCTTCGTGGGCAAGATTAGGAATTCACCAGTTGCCTAAAAGCTTGGAATCATTTGCTTAACTTTACTGAAGACAAGAGAAGTTTCTGTTTGATTGTTCATTAATAAAAGACTTTGTTGTACTTCTCAAGCCATCTAAAGACTGTTTGTGGTGGAAACTTCTGAGAACTTCTCTTTAGACTCCTGGCTTCCCACTGGGCAAAGGTTGCACATCCTGTTCTAAAGACAATTATTTACAGGCCCAGTGCGTGACAGAACAGTAGTGAAGCAACCAAGTTGGGGGGGGGGGGATGTTGAATGCTCTCATTAAGGAGGCCAGACTTGGTGGAGGTGGTTGACAAGGGCGGAGCTGCAGGCTATTGAAGGCTGCTCTGCCCCCTGCTGTGCTCTTTGCTTCAGTGTAAGCTAGGAGGCAGGTTTCAACCCCCCCTGCCAAATTTTCAACCCCCCCCCCCGAAAATTTCAACCTCTCCTGAATTTTTTTTCTGGCTACGGCCCTGCTTGGAGGGCCAAAGTTTGCCCATGTCTGAGTTATCTCCTTGCACAAGGCTTTCCCTTGGGCAGTGCAATGGCACATGTGTGACACTAAGGTTGAGCTCTAATCCTCGCACCAAGGAACAGGACAATGAGTGCCATTCTGGAAAACTTTCCATTTATTTACACAGTAAGGCCATACACACAAGAGTTAGTAGCAGCGCCACAATCTGGCAAAATTAGTACAGCAGAAGTCTGAAAGGAAGAAGACCTTTCTCACAACGTGGAAAGTTCTCTTGCAAGAATGCAAAACTGGAAAAAGGGGAAGGGAAGCTCACCAACCCACTTAAAGGAATAATTATTCAGTCAACCCCTCAGCACACATTTTGGAGATGGTTTCTTCTCTCCATTGCTTTCCAAGACTGTTGTTACCATGAAAGAGCCGCAGGATGTTCACAAATTTGTCAGGGCACCCAGTTTTTTGGAGGATGGTCCAGAGGGCATTGCGATTCACTGTGTCAAATGCCCTTGTAAGGTCAATGAATTACATGTACAGAGGTTGATTTTGTTCCCTGCATTTTCCTTTGAGATGTCATGCAGTGAAGATTATGTCCATTGTTCCTCTGGAGGGGTGGAAGCTGTTCTGGGATTCTGGGAGGGTGTCTTCTGAGACAGGTAGAAGGCGGTTTGCAAGGATTCTTGCAAGGATTTTCCCAGTGAAGGTTAGAAGGGAGACACCGCAATAGTTTCCATAGTTTGTTCTCTCCCCCCCCCCCCCCCCCCCCCCACCACCCTTTTTTTTTAAAGGATGGTAATGGTGGTATCCTTGAAGTCTGCTGGGATTTTCTCATACTTTTTCAATGAACGGGTATAGTTGTTGTATCAGCTCAGGTCCACCCTCTTTAAAGATTTCAGCAGGGATCCCATCAGGTCCGCTGGCTTTGTTATTTTTTTTTTGTTGGCTGATGGGATTGCTGACTTCTTCCAAACTAGGCAGTGCTGCAAGCTCATCCCTTGTTTGTTGTTGTGGGATTTGTGAGAGAACCTCTTCATCCTTGTTGGAGCTCTGATTCAGGAGGTTTTGGTAGTGCTCTTTCCAACATAGTGCAATTGATCTTTTGTCCTTCAGGAGACAATCCAACCCCTACAAATCCACAGCCTTGCATAATGGTTAAATATTCAATCAGAAACAGTGAGTTTCTCCTCTGCATCACAGAAATGCCCTTGGAAATTGGCAACCCAGATGGTGGCACAGACTGATGGATCCTGGGAGGAAAGCCAACAATGAAAAACCCAAAGGATTGTTCTTCATTATCCTGACACTGATCTCCACCTCAGAGGCGATTCTGATGATCAGGCCTCTGTAGAGCTGCCAGCCGACTGGAGGAAGAAAAAATAAAACTGGTCTGTCTGGCTTGCATTTATAGTGTGTTTAAAAATGCAAAAACCAAGAGATGATACTCTTCTGGTACACAGCTACGGAGATCATCCATTTGGTGTTGCAGATCAAATTGTTGTGGGAAAGGCAACTGCAGCAACTTCAAAAGGCATCAGCCGAAAGAGATGGAAATGTTAGAGAAAATGGCTGCCAGATCTGGTAGTGACTGTCCATTTCTATGCAAGTTAATTCAGCCATGAGAACTGAAAAACTTTAACTTGGGGTTCTCAGCCTTCCTAATGCCGCAACCCCTTAATACAGTTCCTTATGTTGTGGTGACCCCCAACCAAAACATTATTTTCATTGCAACTTCATAACTGTAATTTTGCTACTGTTCTGAATCGTAATGTAAATATCTGATATGCAGGATGTATTTTCATTCACTGGACCAAATTTGGCACAATTACTCCATATGCCCAAATTTGAATACTGGTGGGATTGGGGGAGGGGTTGATTTTGTCATTTGAGAGTTGTACTTGCTGGGATTTATAGTTCACCTACAATTAAAGAGAATTCCGAACTCCAACAACAATGGAATTGAACCAAACTTGGCACACAGAACTTCCATGACCAAGAGACAATACTGGGAGGGTTTGGTGGGCATTGACCTTGAGTTTTGGAGTTGTAGTTCACCTACATCCAGAGAGCACTGTGGACTCAAACAATGATGGATCTGGACCAAACTTGGCACGAATACTCAATATGCCCAAATGTGAACACTGGTGGAGTTTGGGGAAAATAGACCTTGACATTTGGGAGTTGTAGTTGCTGGGATTTTTAGTTCACCTATAATCAAAGAGCATTCTGAACCCCATGACTTGAAGGGACTTGCTGGCGTGAGCCTCCCTCCAACCTCACATGCTCTCCCTTGCCTACACATGCACACCACACTGCCATGTGCCAAGCACACCTGCTCACCCCTCCCCTTGGCTTTGAGGCCATCCAATCACAACAGAGGAGGGCTTTTGGTAGGTTGGGTTGCTCAAGCAAGTGAGCCAAACTGTATATCAGTTAATTAATGAGGACAGGCTGAGAGCTCTTCAGCCTTTTCTGCCAAAGGGGTTCCTAAGACCATCAGAAATATATGTTTTCTGATGGTCTTTGGCAACCCCTCTAAAACCCTCTTGTGATCCCCCGAGGTTGAGAAACGCTGTTGAAACTCAAGAATGTATAGTGCTCCAAGTCAGAAGGCATCAGCAGCTAGCTGTTCTTTCCCCATTAATTGAATTTTTTCTTCATGGAAGCAGTGATGGAAAAACATAGGAATGAAGATGATGACATCTGGGCATGCCCAGCAAAACATAATTTGGAAACACCCAACGTCCCTCATGTTCAGAGCAGCTTACTTCTAGGTTCGGGCAGACTGGCTGTGTAATATAGTCTGAATTAGTCATGAAGCTATCTAGTAGAAAGTGATATAGGCATGTTCCTTCTCTTGCAGGGACTACAAACAAGGTTAGGGCAGAATAAGAGAGAAAAGCTGTTTTTCTTTTCCCTGCAATAAGGCAATCACAACAGAAGAGTTCATTTGCAGTTCTGAGGAGTTCACTTTGCTGATGGGCAGAGAATCAGTTGGAAAACAGGTCCTTCCCCTTCCTGGCCCAGAGCCATCCACAGAAGTCCTTTGTAATTGGAAAAAAGGAATGCAATCTAATGAGGCTCCTTGATTGATGGCAGGATAACAGGAAATATTCACAGTCTAGATCCTGGTTGGCTCAACCAAGCAAATCCCTGGAAGAAGCGTGCCTAGGGCACAATTGGCTTTGTTTTTTGCACACCATCACTACTTTTTAATCACTGCCATACTTTTCAATGTTTGCTTCCTAGCCCTTTATTTTGCACACTGAATCATTCCATTGCTTGGTCCTTGCTTCCGTTCACAATGGGAAAGGTTTCTGACCCACGGTCCTGGATATTTGCTGGAGACGGCTGAGTGGCACCAGATACTGTGGCTGGATAGTTGATCAAGTCCGACACACAGGTCCCTGCAAAGAACCAAATGGTTGCAATTACTTTGGGAAAGAGACAGGAAGTCCTCACCCCACACATACTAAGAACCCTTGTTCCTGCCCACTGATACACCAGGAAGCGTACGAGAAGCTCGGCCTGTCATTGAACCATTGAGAAAACCAAAGTGTTCTTCCAATCCCTCTGCAATGCCAGAAATACAGCTTAATGGTGTAACATTAGAAAATGTTGACCATTTCTGCTCTGTTGGCAGCCACCTCTCCACAAAAGTCAACATTGACACCAAAATACAGCACCACCAGAGCTCTGCGAGTGCAGCTTTTTTCCGAATGAAGCAGAGAGTGTTTGAGAACTGGGACATCCCTAGGGATACCACGGTGCTTGTTTATAAAGCTATTGTCCTCCCAACCCTGCTATACGCCTGCGAGACATGGACTGTCTACAGACGTCACATGCAACTTCTGGAACGATTCCATCAGTGTTGCCTCCAGAAAATCCTGCAAATATCTTGGGAAGACAAGTGGACAAAGGTCAGCATGCTGGAAGAAGTAAAAACTACCAGCATTGAAGTGATGGTCCTCCACCATCAACTCCGCTGGACCGGCCATGTTGTCCGGATGCCCGACCACCGTCTCCCAAAGCAGTTGCTCTACTCAGAACTCAAGAATGGAAAACTGAATGTTGGTGGGCAGGAAAAGAGATTTAAAGATGGGCTCAAAGCCAACCTTTAAAACTATGGTATAGGCACTGAGAACTGGGAGGCCCTGGCCCTTGAGCGCTCCAGCTGGAAGTCTGCTGTGACCACCAGTGCTGTAAAATTTGAAGAGGCACAAATGGAGGGTGAAAGACAGAAACGTGCCAAGAGGAAGGCACGTCAAGCCAACCCTGACTGAGACCACCTTCCACCAGGAAACCAATGCCCTCACTGCAGGAGAAGATGCAGATCAAGCATAGGGCTTCACAGTCACCTACAGACCCACCAGTACACTGATCTTGGAGGACTATCCTACTCAGACAATGAGGGAATCACCTAAGTAAGTAAGTAAGTAAGGACCAGGGAGAGATGCTCCAGCCCAAACCAAAAACTACCTCTTGACATATATAAGAGAGGGAAAATCCTTTGCTTACATACAAAAATCCTTCAAAGCCAGGTGCCCTTCAGGTCTGCTTCAAGGGCAAGGAATGCAGCTTTCATCTAGTCAAGGATTTTGCTTTCTATTGGCCAATGGATTAGCCCTCCTAGAAGCATGGATTCCCTCATTCTTACCAGAATAAAACCTCAAATTCCCAAACAATCACACCCGGTTTGGATCAAAGGTTAGCACAGCTTTTATTATTAGGGGACTAGGGTTACCAAGTGCCCCTTATTTTAAGAAATATCCCTTATTTAATAGCCAGAAACCTGACCTTATAGACAGGTGTTTCCTATTTGCAGACTGAAACATTTTTCTTTTTGCATATATATTTATGTGCATGTTGATATCATTTATAAATCAGGTGTCGGGGCCCAAATAATAGCTTTTGCTTTGATCCATGAATAAGTCAATAATATCCATGGCAAACATTAAAGGCATATAACAAGCAAATATTTTATTTTCTTTTTAAAAAGCCACCTATTAAAAATGGCTATCATGATTTCTCTACAGCAGTGGTTCCCAACCTTTTTTTGACCAGGGACCACTTTGATCAGGGATAACTTTGACCTGGGACTACTCTCCAACATTAGTACCAAAAGGATTACGAATCAGTGTTTGGTCAACTTTAGTTTGGTTATTTGAGGTGCTGATACTGAAACTTGCATTGGATATACCACATCAGCTCTAGTCTCTGTTACAGAATTTATGCCATCCAGTAGTCGCCATCTGTGCACCCTCAGAAACCCATATTTAATAATCTAGTGCTGATGCAGTCTATCCAATGCAATTTTCTGAATCAGCACCCCAAATAACCCCAGGAATGGGCCTAAAAACGAAGACACCAAAAAAAAGTTTTTTTTGGTTGGGCTGTGTTAATAATAATAATAATAATAATAATAATAATAATAAATAACAACACTTTATTTGTACCCCGCTACCATCTCCCCAAGGGACTCGGTGCGGCTTACATGAGGCCGAGCCCAACACAACAATACAAGCAATAATAACGACAATACAGCAGTTAAAATAAAAACATAGACAATAAAACACATTATCAAAGACAAAACACAAAACTGTGGGAAGGCCAAACGTAAAGTTAAAAGTTGAAAATAATGCTGGAGCATGGACGAAAGATGATAGTGGCGTTTGTGGAGGGCATACGAGCAGACCTAAAGAAATGTAAAGTGCTTTGGAGGACAAAGTGCTATGGGATCATTATTCCGGGAAGGCACGCTGGAACAGCCACAGCTTCAAGCTCCTCCTGAAGACTGCCAGAGTTGGGGCCTGTCTGATGTCTTTAGGGAGTGAGTTCCAGAGTCAAGGGGCCACCACCGAAAAGGCCCTCTCTCTCGTCCCCACCAATCGCGCCTGCGATGCTGGTGGGATCGAGAGCAGGGCCTCTCCGGATGATCGAAGGGATCGTGTGGGTTCGTATACAGAGATGCGATCACGCAGGTAGGCAGGTCCCAAACCGTTCAGGGCTTTGTAGGTAAGAACCTGCACCTTGAATTGGAGTGGAGCTCCTTGAACAGGAGGGTTGACCGCTCCCTGTAAGGAGCCCCAGTTAACAACCTGGCTGCCGCCCGTTGGATCATCTGAAATTTCCGGGCCGTTTTCAAGGGCAGCCCCACGTAGAGTGCATTGCAGTAATCCAGTCTAGAGGTAACAAAGGCGTATTATTATCCATGGATTTTGTTAACGCTCATGTAAAAAAAAAGAAGAAGAAGGGGAGGAGGCTGAGGTTGAAAAAAATATAAAACGCAGAGCACGAGACCTAAGAAACTATCTCTAATGGCTTTAATAATAATAATTACTTCGGGGGTCTTACAAAGGGTTGCTTTCCCATTACAATTCTTGTGTGGCAATGGAAGCTAATAATGCTAATAATGCTAACACAAATAATAATAATAATAATAATAAGAAGAAGAAGAAGAAGAAGAAGAAGAAGAAGAAGAAGAAGAAGATAACATAATAATAATAATAATAATAATAATAATAATAATAATAGAATAATAATAATAATAATAATTGAATAATAATAAGAAAATGAACATGTCAAACTACTCTGGAACTTCCAAATTCAGACAACAGAGTTTTGGAGCACAAGACACCTGACCTCATGATCGTGTTAAAAAACAGAGTGTGGATCATTGATGTTGCAATCCCAAGTGACAGCAGGATTGAAGAGAAACAACTGGAAAAGCTGAGACAATGTGAGGATTTAAAGATCGAGCTGCAAAGACTCTGGCACAAGCCAGTCAAGGTGGTCCCAGTGGTGATCGGCACACTGGATGCATTGCCTAAAGACCCTGGCCTGGCCTGCACTTAAACACAGTCGGCGTTGACAAGATTACCATCTGCCAGCTGCAAAAGGCCATCTTACTGGGATCTGCACGCATTATTCACCAATACATCACACAGTCCTAGACATTTGCGGTGGATTCATCTGGTTGTGTTTCAAATAATAATAATAATAACAACAACAGTAACAACAACTTCTTTCCCTCTCCTTTCTTTTACTCTTCTCCAATGGCAGCATGCACCTACAGCACCAATTTTCCCCGCATATCTTGCAGACCTTATTTTAGGTCTCACAGCCCACTCCTGGGCCACGGGCCACGAGTTGAAAACCACTGCTCTACAGAGAAGCTTATTCAGAAAGCCCACTGATGGACACTTGCCTTGGTTCATGAAAGGAATCTCTCATCTCTACCTTCAGGAGTCAGATCAGAGAAAAATAGAAGGAAACTGGGAAACAGCTAAAGTGATTATGGCAGAGGGTTTGGGTCAGAAAGGTTACTTCCAGCAAGCAAGGCTATCACTATCTGCACCTCTCTTTCCTGTTTGCTGAGGCACAAAGGTGTGGGAGGCCATCAAGGCCCTCATCAGTGAGTCAGAGCATTGGAAATCAATACGATTTGGAAGTAGCTTGCATATGCTGACTTAAACCTATTGAGCGTTTGAGTGTTCACAGATCTACATAAGCCACTTGTTTTAAAGGCATCCCTTTTGAGCAATATCCAGGAAAGCCAGGTGTTGGATGAAGTGATGCTGATCCAAATCCTTGAAAGCATCCCACTCAGGGGGTCTTCATAAAATCTGGGTCAGGAAGGATAAGAATAGGAGAAGCCACAGGAAAGAAATAACTCTTGCCTTCAAAAGAAAGATATTTGAAGCAAAATCCCAATGCAGCAAGTGTAGGAGTAAAAAATGACCCAGATCTCTATGAGACCAGATAATTCAGAGAGCCAGATTTCAGTTCTGGGTTAGGCAAGGTAAAAGCTGCTACAAGAGGCAACAAAGTTAAACTCCCCCTGAAGACACAGGTTCGCAGCTTGGGAGTGATCCTGGACTCATCGCTGAGACTGGAACCCCAGGTCTCGGCGGTGACCGGGAGAGCTTTTGCACAATTAAAACTTGTGCGCCAGTTGCGCCCGTACCTTGGGAAGTCTTATCTGGTCACAGTGGTCCACGCTCTTGTTACATCCCGAATAGATTACTGCAACACACTCTATGTGGGGTTGCCTTTGAAGACTGTTCAGAAACTTCAGTTAGTCCAACGGGTGGCAGCTAGACTACTCACCGGAGCGTCATACAGAGAACATACCACCCCCCTGTTATGTCAGCTCCACTGGCTGCCGATCCAGTTCTGAGCACAATTCAAAGTGCTGGTTTTGACCTACAAAACCCTATATGGCTCCGGCCCAGCGTACCTGTCCGAACACATCTCCTTCTACGTGCCTCCTTGGAGTTTAAGATCCTCTGGGGATCTTAATCACAAGTGAGACTGGTGGGGATGAGGAGCAGGGCCTTCTCGGTGGTGGCCCCTCACCTGTGGAATTCACTCCCTGGGGAAATTAGGTCATCGACCTAATTTCTCG